AATAAAATGTTAAAATAAATTTACTAGATTGAGCTGTTCAATGGAAATATCCAGAAATAGAAAAGATAAGACTGTAATTTGTTTAGATAAAATGGTTAAATTGTTTTCAAGAAATGTATTCAATTTTATGTCAATAACTTTAAAAAGTCAATCATTACAAAGTGACTGAATAATAAGGATAAGGACAGAAAGAAATCTCACAATGACTAAAATAGCATTAGGGTTGGATTTTGCAAACTCATGATTCTTAGATATAAATTGGATGTTGACAAAGTATAAGTATGATCACAAGTATGCCTTTGAAGACCTTATAATATAAATGTCAAGAAAAGAACAAAATGATATTTTACTATTTGCGTCTACTTTTTGTTTATTTAAATAAATGAGCTTTCTTACTACTAGAAACATTCCCATTGAAAAAGAGAGTGTTACAGTAACTTATTTTAATCCAGATGTAAAACCTTTAGAATGACTCCTTTGCTCTCTGTGAAGAGAGCAAATGTAGCCTTCTGTGAAGTTTATCCTTGAGAGACATGGAACACCCTGGTAATGAGTCTAGTGTCAGACAGTAATATCCTATATTATACTTATTTGTCCACTAATTTATTCCTCTGCTGTAATCCTCATTAGGGCATTTTTATATTCTGCCTGAAATTTCTTGTAATATTTTGTATGTAGTAGCTCAGCTATGATTTGATGAATACATAGTACTAGAGAATAAAGGAATAGTTCAAAATAATGTGCAGAACATGTATTAGTAACTTAATAATCTTATAATAAAATTAATAATCTTGATAGTAAATTATATTAAATTGCTCAGAGAACCTACCCATAAATCTGATGTTTTACTAGTCTCAAGCTGAAAATCAAAAATTTAAGTTCTGGACAACTCCTATCAAGAAGATCATCCAAAAATGAATTAAAATATAATCAGAACCTGCTTCATGGATGACAGTGGTTAATGAGTCATAGAGAGGTTTTGAAAAAACAAGTAACTGGGAACCCATAAATAGAACTGAGGCCCACACTGCCAAGATCTTCTAAATCACTAAACTACTGTAATGTAGGAAACCTCTGTCTCTATGAAGGTGCAATAAATGTCCTGGAACATGAGGGTTATGTTTTGACATGTGCCACTCTAAAATATCTAAAGTATATTAAATACCACGATGTTCTCTAATAGTCACGACTTTAAAACTAATTTCTTAAAAGAAACATTTGGGAACATAAAAATAAAATTACTTAGCTATTTTCTTAGATGTATACTTTCAAGATTAGAAAAGAAAAACAGGAAATAGAGCATGATATAATTAACTATGTATGTGTTGAAACATATCCAGAAAACAGAGTTGTAGTAAGCTAAAAATTTTTCTCTCTGATTCTTTATCTTCCTACCAGCCTCATAAGGCCTTTCTACTAGACTATCAGAAGAGACATACTAAGTAGGTAAATTCTACCACAATCACTATTTACTTCTGGCTTAGTATTCAGTAGTAGAGCCTTAGGAAAATCAGAACTTAGCACTTTTAGTTGAATGAATCTATCTCAATCTGATTAGCTAGTTCAATCTGATTAGTTATCACTCCCTGAAGAATTCTGTAGGATAGACTTTAGGGCTAAAAGAGTAGGAGTCTAGAGACTGAAAGTTGTGGTCTTCAGCTGACATGCTGGATAATCTTCTGTAAGGTATGTTCAAATATGATGAGTTCATAATTATTTGTGAAGAGGATCAAAGTATATTGGGCCTGGGAGGTAGAACAGGATTAGCTTGTATACCTGCCACAGGTTTTAAATATTTTAGCCCAAACATCTATCACAATAAACAAAGCAAAACAAACACTTGCCTAACTGGTTTCAATAGATATATATGTCTTGTCATCACTACATGCTCTGTTGTGGGTCCCCAAGAGCACCCTCATTTTTGGTGATTCACTAAAAGGACTCACAGAACTCAGAAAAGCTGTGATACTCATGTCTATGCTTTATTACAGTGACAAGATACAGATTAATGTAGTAAAAATAAAAGAGATATAGTGAAAAATCCAGGAGAGGCAGGTTCAAACTAACAGTTATCCTCTCCCAGTAAATCATAAAAATTGTGCTTAACTTTCCAGAAGAAATGTATAACAAAACATATGAAGTATTGCCAAGCAGGCAAATTCTCCCAAGTTTTAGTGTCAGGGTTTTATTGGGGGGATCCGTCACTTAAATATGGATTATTCTTAAGACTGACCTTGCTACTCAGTCGGCAGTGCCCCCAGAGGTCAAACTGATACGCCAGGGCTCCAGGTGAACAAAATTAGGCATACACCATAAATCACATTGTTAATACAAAATATCTGGTGTGACCCCTGGCCTCGATACAGAAATACTCTTTTAGACAAGGTTACCCGGGATTTTATGTTACCCACCAGGAACTGATTAAGGGACAATCTTTTCAATTTGGAACATGCACAGTTTGAGCTTTGCAGGCCTGTTTAACCTTTATGGGCCACATGGTAATGAATGATTTGTTTGTTCCACTGGCTACCATTTCATAGACGTTCTACATGTTCCAGCTACCTATAACTTAAGCCCCTTTAGTATACATTTGTTGATTTATCACTTGCTGAATAACTTACCAATTCCTAAGGGAAAAGAAAGCCTTAAAAGTTTATTATCTGATGGCAAGTAACAAGTGAAATTCCTAATATATAAGAAATAGCCAAAATATTTATTTTGTGAAAATAATGAATAAATTTCTCTTTCAATAGTTTTTATTCCACATATCTTTGCTGCATCAGTCTATTTCCGTCTCCACCAACCAATTGCCATAAAACTTCTTCAAGCCTTCCTATCAGGAATTAGTTCCACTTCCTCTGTGCCTGCATGATTTAATTGATTTTGAGATGCACTTATAACATTTCACTTTGCAATATAGTTGATTGTGGATGTATCTTTTTGTGCAACCAGAATTTGGCTTTTAAAGACAGACATTGACCCACCTATTTTTGTAGTAGTTGCAATTCTGATTCTAATGTGTTGCTTCAGGTTATTAAATTGAATATTGAGATTATTTAATTTTTTTTCAAGGTCATATTTTCAGACCAGCATGGAGCTAAGGAAAATGTTAACAAACTTCTGAAAATTTCTAACTGCTGACCTTAGTCTGAATTTCAGAAAATGATATTTAACTTTTCAAATTAGAGTAAATGAAAAGTAGATTAGACCAATCATGTAAGAACACAGTGTACAGAACAACTGTAGTGTCCTCAATAGGATAATCTAAATTATAATTACAGATATGCTTCCTCTCTTCATCCTGTGGGCTCTTGTGAAGACACACTCAACATCAGGGCTTTGGGGATTTATTTGTCCCACAGGCCTGAAATTAGTTTGATTAGTTTTGCTTACATCTGTCACAATGTTTGAAATCTACCTTGCAAATAAAAATTAGCAAGAATAACAGTGCAATAATTTAATTTGTGCATATATCAGGATGCTAAAATTTTACACATGAAACTGGAGAAGCTTCTTTGTTTAGTCTCCTACCAATTTGGAAGTGGTTGAACTTTAAGTGGGTCAATAGCAATTAAGAGTCAAAAGTGTATTTCCACAAAGTATTCTCCTGGATATAAGAGGAATCTCATATTTTATAATGTATATTATACATATTTCATTTTATGCTATTCTCTCCTCGATTTTTTTCATCCTATTTTCTCTTATTTTCTCATCCTTTTTTTTCTCGATAATGGTTTATTAACAAATATTTTTATTAAGCATCTACCATGTGCATATCACTTTGCTATATATGAAAAAACACAACCACCTTGTGATTAAACTAAACTAATGAAATTTTGCTAAACTATCATTTATGCTGTCCTAGGAGACCTACCATTTGCTGGCTCTCTAAAGATGAGTAAGATAGGTTTCTGCTTCTGACTAGATTATGGTATATAGCCAGAGAGAACACTCTTAAAAAGAAATAGCCATACTCTTTTGTGTGGCTGTAATAAGGCAATGTATAAAAGGCTAGGGGAATACAGTTGACACATAAGTTCATTCTCTGAGGCAAAGGAAAACTTCAGAATTGAGGTAATAAGAGAATTTAAGGAAAAATGTGTAGCAAAAATGTATAGAAAATACTGAGAATGTTTCTTGGAAAGCAGAGTGTCTTCATTTAGAAATTATTAATCAAATTTAACCATTCTTTACATTGAGAGATTATACCTTTCCCAGTTTTTCATCTTAAAATCACCTTTCCCCGGCCTGAATCTACCTTATAGTCCCACCTACAAACAAATAATTTTCCTATATGCTGTCATAGTACAGGGACAAGGATTAATGAAACCAATTTGGAGAGCAGTCACCGAATGAGAATTATTTTTTTCCCGTAATATCACTGGATGATTAACTGGTTATACCTATGTGTGAACAGAAACACTGTGAAAATCAACCAGGGAAACTTTTCTCCTTTTCTACTTAGAATCATCAGGGAATTTCTATGACTGTTTCCCCAGTTTTTCCTCCTGTCAGGTTGTTATGCTTGCCTCAAATGTATTTTTAATCTATAATGTGGAAAGTATTTTACCATATGTATAACATTAATGTTCCATTATGCACCTACATATTAGTTTAATGTCCGTAATTCATCATTTATCATGTACTCTATGAAATAATTCACCAACAGCGATCGGTGAACCAAACTGACCCCATTTAAGTCAGTCTAACATTGTACTGTATCTATCATGACATTTACTCCACATTCTTGACACACAATGAAAATCAGCATTGTAGTTTTCAGTACAGTAGATTAATATCCATTATTCTTTCCCATCAGTGTAGCAAGAGAGGATACACACACACACATAACTCTGAAAGAATTTTTGAGCAGATGTTTAACAATATCATATCGTAATTTAAATATGGGTGAGAGGTAAAATGAAGAGTATATTTTTAATAAGAGACAGCTCTTAATTTTGAAACGCACCTCTGTGACTAACACACTTCTTTATTTATAGGAGAATGTTGAAGGAGAAGACTGCAGTCGCTGCAAAACCGGCTTCTTCAATTTGCAAGAGGAAAATCGTAAAGGTTGTGATGAATGTTTCTGCTCAGGGGTTTCAAACAGATGTCAGAGTTCCTATTGGACCTATGGCAATGTAAGCAACACTCTTTTTCTTATTCCTGCCTGCTTCTCCTTGGGTTTCTTGCTATTGTAGTTCTTTTCTAAAAAATTAAAAAAAAAATCTCTTCTTGTAGTCAGCTTCTACTTAAAGTTACCACCGAAAAGTCATGAACTTTTCTTTCAGATGTGTATCTTTGATCAGTGCCTTTAAGGTTTTATTTGTAACGAGGTGTAGACTGGGACATCTTGAAATACGTAGACAGTAGCCTTGGCAGTGACCATGATTAATATGTGAAGCAGGAATGACATTAAAGTTGTTTTAGCCCCAAGGGGAAATAACTCAATAGAGAAAACATCAGGTCATGATAGGGAGAATTATGTATTCTTTCCACCAGCTCTTTTGATACTCACATTAAGAACAATCTCTTTATCATCCTTTTACATAATACTTATTAACTATCAGCCTTCAGTTACTCTTTGATGTTGCCTGGGTCTTTTTTATTGTTGAAAGAGGACACTAAATTTGAATAATACCTCATTTTTTAGTTAACTTGAAAAATTTCCAATTATTGCCTATTTAATATTTTCTGGGATTTTCTTCCTTTAACATAAGACTTAGCAAGTCTACCTTTCTATCTCCACAGCCTGCCTCATTCTCCATTGCTTTCAACTACATGCATAGTGGATTGTCTTGTTTTTTTTTTTAAAGATTTATTTATTTATTTATTTGTTTGTTTGTTTGCTTGTTTGTTTATTTATACAAGCACTGGGTACAGTCAGAAGCGCAGGAGGGTGAGAAAATTCACCAGAGCAGGGAACAGAACAGGCAGACTGACAAAATACCCTGCTGAGGGGAGCAGCGGGCACGGCAGGAGAGGTCTGTGCACCATGTGGGACCCTCGCCAGCAACCGGGGATCGAACCAGTGCTGCAGAGGCTGCGGGCAGCTTCACAGCCCAGCGCTCAACTGCTGTGCCACTAGGGAGGCCCGGATTGTCTTCTTATAGGAGAGTAATGAAAGGAATATTGGACATTTGGGGAATTTCATTGACCTTTGTGGCAGCTCTTAACGAAATAGAGAAAGTGGACTCAAGAGACAGAAGTCTATAGGGAGAATGAGAAACTATAAAATGTATGTTAAGAAGTTAGGTTCTTATACTTAGAGAGTTATTGATGTCACTCAGATGGTGAGTGACAGGACCAGGGTTGCATTTTACAAAGATCAGTACTTCCATAAACTATTTCCAAACACATCTTGGTTTCCATTTTAATGAGCTAACTAATCCTTAACACAACTATCAAATATTTTTTCTCCCTGTATTGCTTTTGCATCAATCTGAAATATTATGCAAAGGTAGGAAATACTGAATAAAAAGTCACCTTTCGGTCACTTGCGTATTTTATTTCTTTCCTTCCTCTACTTTACAAATACAAATGCATAACCGTTTTTGTTTGTTTTCTGTCCCGTCTAAAGCCCCTACTGCAAAGCCCTTTGAAATATTTTTTTTCTGTAAGCAACAGGAAGTTATTAGTGGAAAGAAAAATATGAAATTCAAAGTCCAACTATTTGATAACTTATATAATATTATAACCATTGTGGAACTTTGAAGAAATTTCTATTTTTAAGAAAGAGACATTTTGAACCTTATTTTTAAAGACTTTGAGTCAAAATAAAAGATTATGTGATATCTTCCAAAATCGTACAAACATCAGGAAAAAAATAACAATGGGCACTTTTAATGATTAGATATAAGTTTAGTGACATTCACGACTCTTGTAACAATTTTCTAAGCTTTGTAGGTTTTTTTATTAATTTCCAAAAATGAACCCCACTAGAAATGTAAAAGAGAAAAGGAGTGGTGGACTTCTCCCCCTTAAATAATGACAATTGTGTGTCTTCTTTAAGATACAAGACATGAGTGGCTGGCATTTGACTGACATCTCAGGTCACACTCGCATGGCCCCTCAGCAGGACAACTTCGGTACACCTCAGCAAATCAGCATCAGCAGCGTGGAGGTCCAAGGAGCTTTTCCACAGAGCTACTTCTGGAGTGCACCGGCTCCATACCTGGGAAACAAAGTAAGTTCATACGGTGCTTGCTTCTTGCTACTTTGCATTAACATCAATAAAGTGAATGACTTTTATTTAGCTTTTCTTAAAGTAAGGTGAAATCAAATACATATGCTTATATAAGTATATAAGTAGATATACATCTATATATGTAAATATATATAAATACATATACTTATTGCATGTTAAAGTCTTACAGTATATATGTAATACATATAGTGTTATAGTATTACTTTATATATCAGTAATTTGTGTGTGTGTATATATATGCATACATACTGTATATATGGTAATGAAATGCTGAAACCAACTAAATTAGCTTGAGTTAGACATTTCTCCCATGCCCCATGGGTGAGGTATGAATACAAGAAGTTAATGGGCCATGAAGTCCCTAGTGCACAACTTGGCATAGTTCCATATGAAATTTTTGAATGAGGAAATAGGTTAATGAGGCCTCTAGGACATTTTTGTAAAATAAATTATAGGTATTGGAAGAAACTGTGCTGTATTTACTTGAAGTAATTGTCTTTCTAGAGTTGTTGATGGTGGGATACTTAGCAAAGTTTTCCTCATCTGTTTCTATTTCACTTCAAAACATTCAAGAGAATGGCTTTTTCTATCTTCTATGAATGTTAATTGGAAATGAAATTTATTACATAACTAATTTAGTGCTTGTCATGAATCTTATATAAACAACATATTTCTTGGAAGATAGAGAGAGAACTATCCTAAAAGAAGTGCCATATTGAAAGTACATGTTTGTTTGAAAGCCCACTCACACATATATAAAAACATACACAGATAAACAAATGTAGCAGCCTCAGAAATGCAGGGTTTTTTTTTTTTTTTCTTGCTGTAGATTAACTCTATCTGGATAAGTGCCTTAGTATTTAGAATTTTATTTTGTCTTGCTTAATAATTTATTGGAAACAAAATCTGGTATAGTATTTCTATTTTTTTAAGATTTATTTATTTATGCATATAAGAACTGGGGTACAGGCCAGAGGTGTGTGGGGATGAGAGTATTCACCAGAGACAGAGTGGGGAACAGAACAGGCAGATTGACTGACATAACACTGCTGAGGGGAGCAGCGGGCAAGTCAGGAGAGGTCTGCTGGGCCATGTGGGTAGCTCCCTGGCCGGGGATCGAACTCATGCTGCAGTGGCTGCGGATTGCTTCATAGGTTGCGTCTGAACCACTTTCACCACCAGGGAGGCCCCCCTAGTTTTTCTAAATTTTATTACTTGCTTGTTTTGGGAAAGTTAATACCTTGTCAGCTGATAGTTCTTACCTAATTACACTACAAGCTATAATGTTCACCAAAAAATCCCTTACTGAATTCATACTATTTAAGCCTACTTTTCCCTATAAGAGTACGGTGGTATTTTTAGAAGAAATTGTGATTGATTAAATGAATAAAATTGTATTTATAGTTAGTAGTTAGTAGTTCTTTGTCATGGCATGTGAGTGTTGAAATAGAAAAACCTAGTCGTTCATATGCTTCTCAATAAGTGGGAATTGGTGGTTTTACTTGATTGAAAACAAAACCATAATTCATCACCAGTTTCTTATTTTTAATAGACTTCTAAATGATATTACCCAAAAAGTGTAAATAAAGTACATTTTCAATAAATAAGGATTTTGAAAGAGAAAAGGTATGTTGCATAAAATTCAATAGTTGTAATAAAAATCCAATTAAACTTTTATTTACAAGGCCTTTACAGCCAAAAGTCATTCTATTCTATTCTATTCTATTCTATTCTATTCTATTCTATTCTATTCTATTCTATTCTATTCTATTCTATTCTATTCTATTCTATTCTATTCTATTCTATTCTATTCTATTCTATTTGGAAACCTCCTGTATTCTCAACGATAGTAACCTAGCACACAACACTTGAATGTCTACTGCCTAAAATTGGCCCAAGATAAATAAATACATTGTTTCATTTCTCTTTCACTCCATTGTGTGGCATTCAGAGAAGAGCCTTGGTCTGAAGTGGGTAAGTTTCAGAAGTCTTATTTTCTTATGTTGGTGAAATTTATTTACAGAAAGCTTATAATAGAATATTTTCCCCATACAATAGAGTTTTACCCCATATTTTCCATCATTTCTTCTTTCCTCATATGCTTTTTCTTTCTGTTGGCTGAAAATCAAACTGACAGAAGGTAAGCAAGTAAATGGGATATTAAATAGCATCAGAGCAAGGAATTTGGACATCCTGTTTGTAGTTGTTGGTTCCCAAAGATAACTTCCCTTTTCTGGCTTAACTGAAGCTTATAATCACCCACACTGAAATCTTTCATATTCCCCTACTGATCATTTTCACATCAAAAAGCTATGCTGGCCTGTGCTTCAGTTTCCACTCAGTGAACAAAGTAGTGGTAACAGGGTGTGCAAATTGTTTGAATTTGGAAGACATTTTTTAATGTAATGTGGAAGCCCTCGGTGGTTTACTGTCAGACATTTCAGTATGAATGAAACAATTTGCCTTAATAATTGAACCATATAAATTTTTGATACTACAATAATACTGCAAGCTTTCACAAATTACCACAGTACATCTTAACTGTCATGTCACATCATGTAAATTATAGTCATGAAGACATGCTTAGCTCTCTTGATTTAATATCTTGCTAAGGAAATGGAAAATTGTAGGGCCTTGTTTGTAAATCCAATAAAGCCACTTTTCTAAATAGTTGAGGCTAAGTTCTTTACCAGTAATTGCTGTTCCAATCCGAACCATTGCCAGAATCTGACAGAAATGGTATATCAAGATACTACTAGTGCATCTGGTTAGATACTGAATTTCATTTACTTACGTCGTGATCCACAGGCTGTAGGTGCATAATCCCTTCTCTGTTTTTTTGTGTTAATTCCCAAGCAAAAATTACTTATGAGATGCTATTAGCTTTCTTAAATATTTATATAAGCAAATTTTCAAACATTTTCCTATAACTGTTACAAGGCTACTTAGAAGGAATATGTGCTGTATATATTCTGTTGTAATGAAGATGCCACATGCCATTCTTCCCTTAGGAACCTGACCCCAATAAAACCGTTCTCACATGGGACACATTTTGCTAACAGAACTTTGAGCTCTTCCTAATTGTAATAAAATTCAAGAACATGACAGTTTTGCAAAGGAGTGCTTTTTATCCGAAGAAACATTTATTATTGACTGCAGTTCTTCTTTGGAGTAATGAGGTATATAGAAGTGATTATAAGTGCGGATGTGGATAGTAGATGAGGCTTAGAAAAATTTAGCACATTATTATACTGACCATCTAAAAATTTTCCATGATCTCAGCTATGTTAATTTCTCAATAGCAATTTGGAAAATACTTTACTCATAGATGTGTGAATATTTGGCACAATCAAATGTTAAAGCTACCCCAACATCCTAGATGGTCAAAGAGAATTATGTCTGGAACCCACAGGGCTATGCCCAGCAGCATTTAACTTTCAAAATGCTTAGCAAATGTTAATGTTTGGTCTTAGGGCATTTATTTAAGTATGGAACTAGGCAGAAATGGAAAGAGCTAGAGGACAGAGTCCTGCTGGTATGCTACAGGCCACAGCTATTTAGAAACAGTTTGGGTATTTGAGAGTGGAATAATTTACTGCTTTGGTAAACTAACTGCTATTAGAACATTAAAATAATCATTTACTTAAAATTACCCTAGTGGTCTGAAATAGTTTGTGCAGTATCCAAAAGCAATTCTTTTCTTTGTAAAGTTCCCTGAAAATCTGGCTTGGTTTGATATGTGTCGCCTCATTACTGATAAGCTTGGAAATGTTGTCTCTGAGCATTATTAAATTAATTTTGTGATTTGTTCTTTACAAAACAATACTTATTTTCTACAGAATTATACTATTTTTTCTGTTTAATCTGTTTCTAGATTAGAGATGCTTTTAAATTATTTCATGTAGTTGCCGGGAATTTCTCTAGCTTAGTTTAAGAGGCACTTTTATGAGGTCTCCTGAAAAAACAGTATTGGGCTCCTGAAAGCACTCTCTGGCATGTCTTTGTTGTGCTTGCTTGACTTTCTTTCCTTTTTTTTAAAGTTTTACTTATGCATACAAGAACTGGCATGTAGGCCAGAGTGTGGTGGATGAGAGGATTCACCAGAGACAGAGTGGGGAGCATAACAGACAGACTGGCTGAAATACACTGCAGAGGAAAGCAGAAGGCAAGACGGAAGAGGTCTGCTGCACCATGTGGGTCAACTCCCTGACTGGGGATCAAACTTGTGCTGCAGTAGATGCTGATAGCTTCATAGTGCTGAGACTTAACCTCTTGCACCACCAGGGAGGTCCACCCGCTTGACTTTCATTTCTACCTCATAGATCCCAAATTAAAGATATGGATTTGAAGAAAGATAGATGCTTGAGAGTTACAGGACGGAGTAGGACTTGTTGCTTAAAGAGCTCAACAAATACTTTCTGATTGTTACCTATTTAAGAACAACAACAACAATTTGATTAGTTTGCTCCAAATGACTCCAGTTAGAATGTATGTGGGAATTGAAAGATAATTTCAGTCTTGTTACAAACATTTTTAAAAACTTGCTAGCAAGTGTGATCCATTTTCTTTTAGCAGAACAATTTGTACATGTGATTTTTTTCTTTGTATTCTGCTAAATTATTCAAATAGGAAGGTCAAACACTATCCCCACCCTTAATTTCCTTTAATTTAAATTTGGATGAAATGCATTAATTAAGAAGGTCATCATGTATGTGGAGAAAGGCACGATCATAAAAATAAATAGGATAAATCAACTGCAATTGAATTTTTATTCCATAAATCAGAACTCATCAAGAATTATTTGATAGTGTTGTAATACCAAGATTTACTGCTTATCATAAATCAAATTAAATGTTAGGGGTAAATGGAAAGATTATTTATAAAAGAACAAAAGAGAACTCAGTTATTGCCCATAGTTATTGCAGTGTCACTATGCAAAATTAGCCCACCTCTGAGTGCTATAGTCTGACATCAAAATC